ATCTTCCAAGTCCTAACTATCTACTCTATCTATCCAAAGAGTACAAAGTAAAATCATCTGATTTTCATTGAGCAGGTGTAATATTCATTAACATTAATTATTCGAATTCGCTGTTTGGGGTCGAATGATGATAGTTAACGTTACATCATCATTAACGTTAACCTGCAGGCTGCATTTTGCTTATGGGGCTGCAAAAAAATAAATAAGAAGAGCGGCGCTGCGGCAAAATAATGAATAAAAAGAGTGAAGCTATGGTCAAATAAATAAATAGATGAAAAAAAGTGCGACTGCTGAGTGCAAGCAGCTAGGGACATCGGCCCTCACGGCCAAAAAAAGGACCGGCCCACCGGGAATTCTCCTGGTGCTCCCGATTAGCCAATCCGGGCCTGGATGCAACATTACAGTTAGCCCATGGTTCAATACATACCTCGGTTTTTTAACATGGTTTTCGGTTCAGTTCGGTTCTCATGGCTTAACACGTGTTTTTTTATTTTTATTTATAGGCATACCTGTCAACCCTTCAGTTTTTCCCAGGATTCTCTTGTATTTTACTGTTCTATCAAGCTATCATCCCGTAAAGGTATTTTCCCGTATTTCTCCCGTATTTTCAGTCTTTCTCTGAACAGCCGAGCCTCCCTATACACAACCCATACCGCCGAATCACCAGGGGTCGCCCCTTGCTCTAAAACATGAGTCTTCTGTGCTTTCTCTTTGTTTAGGAATGAAACACTTATAAATAAATATTAAAAACGGCGCGATTTCATTTCCTTTTGATTACAGGTGCCGTCGCCCATCCTATACAATCCTCAAAACAGTCATATAATGGTGCATGACTGTCAGCTGCCGCGCTCTATAGTGATAAACAGACGCTATTTCCCAAACTAATTCTGTACACGCGATTTGAAGCGGAGAGAAAGTCTGGCTTTTGGGTGCGTGTTTAATCCCACAACTTTCTAAACTGTTTTTGACCCTCAACTGAACGCTCTGTTTGAGTGGGAGTGGCCAATTGTAGACCCTGAAGTAAACGCCCACTGAGTCATTTTCATCAGAATAGATGTATTCCCAGTATTTCCTGAGCGGCAATCTCACTACTTTCTGAGCTGTTTTTGAGCCTCAACCCCGGCGCATCCATAGAAGCGACCTAGGCGACCGCCTAGGGTGGTAGAATAGAGAGGGCGACGTCCGCGACACCTCCATCAACACCTGCTTCCTCGGTTATGTCTGCGACACCTCCCTCAACATCTGCGTCTTCAGTTATGTCCGCGACACCTCCCTCATTCCCCACCGCCTCAGTTTTATCCGCATCTAGGGCGGCAGAATAGAGAGGGCGGCGTCCACGACACCTCCCTCAACACCCGTGTCCTCAGTTATGTCTGCGACACCTCCCTCATTCCCCACCGCCTCAGTTTTATCCGCATCTAGGGCGGCAGAATAGAGAGGGCGGCGTCCACGACACCTCCCTCAACACCCATGTCCTCGGTTATGTCCGCGACACCTCCCTCAACATCTGCGTCTTCAGTTATGTCCGCGACACCTCCCTCATCCCCCACCACCTCAGTTTTATCCGCATCTAGGGCGGCAGAATAGAGAGGGTGGCGTCCGCAACACCTCCCTTAACACCCGTGTCCTCGGTTATGTCCGCGACACCTCCCTCAACATCTGCGTCTTCAGTTATGTCCGCGACACCTCCCTCATTCCCCACCGCCTCAGTTTTATCCACATCTAGGGCGGCAGAATAGAGAGGGGGGCGTCCGCGACACCTCCCTCAACACCCGTGTCCTCGGTTATGTCCGCGACACCTCCCTCATTCCCCACCGCCTCAGTTTTATCCGCATCTAGGGCAGCAGAATAGAGAGGGCGGCGTCCACGACACCTCCCTCAACACACTCGTGTCCTCGGTTATGTCCGCGACACCTCCCTCAACATCTGCGTCTTCAGTTTTGCCTGCGACACCTCCCTCATCCCCCACCAGCTCAGTTTTATCCGCATCTAGGGCGGCAGAATAGAGAGGGTGGCGTCCACGACACCTCCCTCAACACCCGTGTCCTCGGTTATGTCCGCGACACCTCCCTCAACACACGTGTCCTCGGTTATGTCTGCGACACCTCCCTCAACATCTGCGTCTTCAGTTTTGTCCGCGACACCTCCCTCATCCCCCACCACCTCAGTTTTATCCGCATCTAGGGCAGCAGAATAGAGAGGGTGGTGTACGCGACACCTCCCTCAACACCCGTGTCCTCAGTTATGTCCGCGACACCTCCCTCAACATCTGCGTCTTCAGTTATGTCCGCGACACCTCCCTCATTCCCCACCGCCTCAGTTTTATCCGCATCTAGGGCGGCAGAATAGAGAGGGTGGCGTCCACGACACCTCCCTCAACACCCGTGTCCTCATTTATGTCCGCGACACCTCCCTCATCCCCCACCGCCTCAGTTTTATCCGCATCTAGAGCGGCAGAATAGAGAGGGCGGCGTCCGCGACATCTCCCTCAACACCCATGTCCTTAGTTATGTCCGCGACACCTCCCTCATCCCCCACCGCCTCAGTTTTATCCGCATCTAGAGCGGCAGAATAGAGAGGGTGGCGTCCGCGACACCTCCGTCAACACCCATGTCCTTAGTTATGTCCGCGACACCTCCCTCATCCCCCACCGCCTCAGTTTTATCCGCATCTAGAGCGGCAGAATAGAGAGGGTGGCGTCCGCGACACCTCCCTTAACACCCATGTCCTTAGTTATGTCCGCGACACCTCCCTCATTCCCCACCGCCTCAGTTTTATCCGCATCTAGGGCGGCAGAATAGAGAGGGCGGCGTCCACGACACCTCCCTCAACACCCGTGTCCTCGGTTATGACCGCGACACCTCCCTCAACATCTGCGTCTTCAGTTTTGTCCGCGACACCTCCCTCATCCCCCACCACCTCAGTTTTATCCGCATCTAGGGCAGCAGAATAGAGAGGGTGGTGTCCGCGACACCTCCCTCAACACCCATGTCCTCAGTTATGTCCGCGACACCTCCCTCATCCCCCACCGCCTCAGTTTTATCCGCATCTAGGGCGGCAGAATGGAGAGGGTGGTGTCTGCGACACCTCCCTTAACACCCGTGTCCTCAGTTATGTCCGCGACACCTCCCTCATTCTCCACTACCTCAGTTTTATCCGTATCTAGGGCGGCAGAATAGAGAGGGCGGCGTCCACGACACCTCCCTCAACACCCGTGTCCTCAGTTATGTCCACGACACCTTCCTCACCCCCTGCTGCCTCAGTTGTATCCGCGCCTAGGTCGGCAGAATAAAGAGGGCGGCGTCCACGACCCTTCCCTTAACAACCCCCCCCATCCGTCTTCAATTTGATAACCGGTCATTTCCGTTTTCACTTTCGGGTTGAGGGCGGCGTGATCGTCCTTTGCTTAGAGCGGCAGTTCAGCTTGCTCCAGCCCTGGCCTCAACTTAAAGCTCTGTTTGAGTGGGCGTGGCCAATTGTATACTTAGCAGGAAACACCCACTGTTCTGATTGGCTGACAGGGTTGCATATTGACAGGGCTAAACAAGTATTGCAGCCTTGTAGAAGTGGGCCTTCAGTGAAGGCGGAGCTTATCCTGCCTATTACATCATTGATCAGAACATTCCAGAATCTGCTGTTTTTTCAGACGGCCTTCAATAAAAGCTGATTTTAGAGGAACCACAAGGTGATGAGTTTTGACACTTACAGGACGTTTTTATAGAGCAGTTAGCTCTAATATGTCAAAACAATAATGATATTTAAGTTTTTTTAAATCATGAGCCCTTTAAATTTAATTTAAAGAGCCCATATTATGGGTTTTTGAAAATGCCCCTCCATGTAGTGTGTAACACAGCTGTAAGTGAAGTGAAGTATCCAGCTAAGGCTTAAATCTGTTAGTGTACAGTGTTTAAAACGGTTGATTCATCTATAAAAGAGTCGACTCATAGTGCTTCAAACGAGTCGCCTTGATAACGAGTCATTAGGTGTTTCGCCATGACGTACTAACGAAACCAAGTTATTCACGTGCACGCGCAAACCCGGGAGATTTGAACCCTGCGTCCCTGACCCCCCCCCCCCCCCCCCCCCCACACACACACACACAAACATGACGGTCGATTGAAGTCACACTGCAGATGGATATTATTGAGTCTCTACCATTTTTATAACCCAGCCTTGAGCAGTTGGAAACTACTGGAAACTTCTGGAAGCTACATGCTACAAAGAATACTTCATCTGCGTTTGTTAAAGGAAGGATCAGTAAAGAGAAATGATCGACATGTCAGGACATGGATCGGTTTCTTCCTCAATTTCTCAAGTGTAAGTACGTGCGGTTGAAGTTGATGCCTCGTTTACTCGAGCTTGCGAATGTATTTAGTTGTGATTTGTTACTTGTAATCGCGTGTACTGTATCAGGTTAACTCGCTATATTCTCATATCGCGTTCAAAGCCACGTTAAAAATGTGACGCGAGCTGCTTTGTTTACGTTCGGTGGATAAGGGTAATGTGTGTGTGTGCGCGCGCTGCCATCCAGAGGTGTGTGTATTTGTGTGTGTGTGCGCACGTGTTGTCGTCCGGAGGAGGGGTTATGTGGCAGTTGACCAATTGCCACTGACTGTCATCGGTCCAATCAGCACAGATTAGCTTTGTGCTAAGGAGGGGTTTGGGAACAAATGAATCACTGAATGATTCATACGGGAGTCGCTGGGATAATTAGGTAAAAATAAATGCATATTATAAGACCATGAAAGTGTTTTTTGACCTTGCATGCATATTAGACTGTTGTTGGAGACCCTTACAACCAAGATATGACCCTATTTCATGTATAATATGGGCTCTTTAACATAAAATCAAAAATCATAAAATCTGACTCCCTAAACAAACAGTTTTATATGACTGGGTGTCACTAAAAAACATCTCAGTGTAAAAATAAGGAGCTATTTTGTATGCACAGAGCTAAAAGAGTCTGTTTGCAAAGTAGGAAGTCAACTTTGGAGACCTACTTTTGTTGGGTAGCTCGCAGCTCTTCTGTTGTCACAGCTATTATCATGGTTAGAAAGTGGCTTGTAGAACGACACCTGCCTTCATCCTTTTCATTTTCATCACACGACGAGAGATGTAATCCGAACGAGTCTGGCATTTTCAGATTACCACAGGCCTCTCATTTGGAGCGTCGATGACAAATCTCCTTATTTACAAGGCAAGAGGCTCAGGCGACTCCTTCCAGGTGAACCAGCGGTGGAAACCCGAAACCTTCGCACCTCCTGCTTCCGACGTAAGCTGGTTAAGAAAACTCCAGCGTCTCTCCTGCTCTCAGACTGATGCCCTGAGACAGAGCAAACTTTATTTCCGCTTGTTGAAACTGATAGCGCGTGAGGAAAATGCCAGCCTGAGAGCAGAACTCCTACAGTGGTGGAGAAAGAGAAAGAGAGACGCTCCTGTCAGTCTGAAGAGATTATTCCTGGCCTCGTCTAAAAACACGCTAAAGCTGCTTACGTTTGTTCCTTTCGGGCTCTGCTCAGATCCAGCACTGATTCATCACTTAAACATGTTCATTAGGGCTTTTGTCATGGCCTTAATACTAATAGATGCAAATCGAAAATTAAATGTCGCATTTTGGAGTTCGCATCAAGTAAAAATGTAAACAACGTTCATCATGTGGACTGTAAATATGGCAATATACAAATAAACCTGAATTGAACTAAATATTCTAAAGCACAGCATCAACATATTTCCTGATACCCGAGTTATTCTTCATCCTCTGAGATAGCAGGCCAGATCCTCCTCAAACAGGTTCATTAGGGGTTTTGTGGTGGCCCTGATGGGTTTCTGGTATCGATGTTGGAGCAGATTAAGTTTCTCCGCCGTATAAAGCTGTGATTGTTCTTGGTTATTGGAGAGAGATGCTCCTCCGCTGAACGAAAACCTGCAACCATCCTGGAGAACACTGACATTAACAGCTTATTTCACAATATTAAAGGATGATTGAGTGTATAAACTGCCTTACTCACTGATAATGTGACCCCGCATCCATATGTTGATGATTTCTGTGGAACAAACAGGTAGGAAAATTTTTTAAATATTTGCAATAATAGAATAAAAACAATGCATAAAACAAACAGTAAATGCAAGTAATGACTAATTTATTATTATTAACATAACACAAAATAACAACCAAAAATTAATAAATAAATAAATTATATATATATATATATATATATATATATATATATATATATATATATATATATATATATATATTGAACAAGGTACTGAAAATATTCTCCAAATATTTTGGTCCGTATTACCATGATAGCATCACGCAGTTGCTGCAGATTTGTCGGCTGCACATTAATGATGCCAATCTCCCGTTCCACCACACCCCAAAGGAGCTCTATTGAATTGAGTTCTGGTGACTGTGGAGGCCATTTGAGTACAGTGAACTCATTGTCATGTACAAGAAACCAGTCTGAGATGATTCACGCTTTATGACATGGAGCGTTATCCTGCTGGAAGTAGCCATCAGAAGATGGAGACACTGTGGTCATAAAGAGATGGACATGGTCAGCAACAATACTCAGGTAGGCTGTGGTGTTGACATAAATGCAAAATTGGTACCAATGGACCCAAAGTGTGCCAAGAAAATCTCCCCCACACCATTACACCACCACCACCAGCCTAAACCGTTGATACAAGGCAGGATGGATCCATGCTTTCATGTTGTTGATGTCAAATTCTGACCCAAGCATCAGAATGTGTCAGCAGAAATGGAGACTCATCAGAGCAGGCAACGTTTCTCCAATCTTCTATTGTCCAGTTTTGGTGAGCCTGTGTGAATTGTAGCCTCAGTTTCCTGTTCTTAGCTGACAGGAGCGGCACCCGGTGTGGTCTTCTGCTGCTGTAGCCCATCCGCCTCAAGGTTGGATGTGTTGTGTGTTCAGAAATGCTCTTCTGCAGACCTCGGTTGTGTCTGGCCATTCTCCTCTGACCTCTGGCATCAACAAGGCATTTGCGCCCACAGAACTCCTAGTAGATCAGCAGTTTCTGAAATACTCAGACCAGCCTGTCTGGCACCAACAACCATGCCACATTCAAAGTCACTTAAATCCCCTTTCTTCCCCATTCTGATGCTCGCTTTGAACTGCAGCAGATTGTAAATGCAATACATATAAAAATCTAGAATTTAACACATACAATGAAATAATCTAAAATAATATCATAACACAAAATATAAAAATGATTTATATAAATAATCCGAAATAATACAAAAGATTTAATTATTATATAAACTCTTAAATATCATACATTGTAAAACCCAAAAAGTTAAGGTAACTCAAACCATTTGAGGAAACGATTGCAACAAACCCTTTAAGTTCAAAAACTAATTCTTATAAGTACTGTGAAGTTAATCCATTTGAGTAAATGAAGCAATTTGAGCACAGTAAAACCCGATAAATGAAGAGAACTCAAACCAACCAAGTTCTGTGAAACCCAACAAGTTAAGGCAACTCAAACTGCAAACCATTTGAGTTAAAGACTAATCTATATGAGTACTGTGAACGTACCCCATTTAAGTAATGTGGTATTTAATAAAGTCATTACCTTCTGAGTTCAAAACTCTTTTCAAATAATACATAATTATTCAAAAATAATATTTGCAAATAAGTACAATGACTTTTCAGTCAAGTTTGAGTTAACTACTCTCATTTCTTTTGATAAAGTGGACTGTTGGGTTTTACCGTGTAATAATATAATGAAAATAGAGCAGAAAAAATTATAGCAATAATAATATAATTCAAAGTAATAAGTAAAATTAAAGAATAAATAAAAAAACTAATATAATACAATGAATCTATTTATAAATAATATGTCTAAAATAAATTATTTTCAATAAATATATAAATATATGTAAAATACACACACACACACACACACACACACACACACACACACACACACACACATATATATATAAATTGCACATAATAATTTAAGGAATGTAAATACTTATTAATATGAATAGTAAAATAGTAAATAGTAAAGAACTGAAATATCAAACAATAATTATACAATGTAGTAATACTTATAATAAAATAACAAATATTTTATATATGAAAAATAGTTCAACACAAGCACCATTAAATATTTTAAATTATCAAATATTAAAATATATTATTTATTAAATAATATAAATACAATAATAATAAAAATAGCATAAATATAAACTATATCAAATAAATTATATAAATGATAAATAATCCTATTATTAAAAATATTAATAAAATAAAAAATAACAACTTTCCTGTCTTGGAATAACTAAGCCCTTTAAAATGAACAGTGCTTGTTCATGAATAGAACAGGTTTCCATTGGAAACTTTTTATTTTCTCTGCAGGCTTTGTGAAATAATAACAATAATAATAAGAAAAAACCTATTCACCCTTCCTTTCAAATGGAAAATAACTCGATATAAGGTGTTTGTTCCCTGGCTTTGTGATTCGCAGAAATGCTCAGATTCTGATATGTATTCCATACAGGAGTCCATACAAAAATCCGCCAGTCGCATTATTCTCCACAATTCCTCCCAGATTTGATTATGATAACGTTCTATTAGTGTGTAGCCGTAAATAGAGAATCCATTTCACGTTCTATTGAGAGTGGAGAATTGACACCAAAAGTGAAAATGAAAACCCGAGCAAACATCAGGCGTAGATTTATTGAAGCACATGATCAGCCAATGGGAACTCATCTAATCACAATCCAGAGTCTATAATCAGAATTAATTTATCATCATGACTGCAGATCATCCTCAGTACACCTCATGGTGTGCTTAAGAGACACAGGATTTACACACTGTAGACATTTAATAATGGTATATTGAAATAGAGTACATTTAAATGTGCTTTATGTAAGTTTTTGACTCTTCCGAGGAGCAAAAACACCATCATGTGTTTGCAGATTTTTAAAAAGCATGCTTGTTTATCAGAAAAACAATGCTGAAGTCACGTATTCTTCTTTAAGTTTGTGCATTCCATGTCAGGATGTCTGTCTTTGTTTTGATCTGTGTAACTCCGCCCACTGCCAGTCTAACTAATTATATACTTGCCTTGGTCGAAACTGTTTTGAATTTGGACTGCAATACCGAGGTCAACCACTATACCCGTATTAGAAATGCCCCTTTAGGTTGAGGTCAGGGCTCGGTGCAGGCCAGTCAAGTTCCTCCACATCGCATAGTCTAAAGTGCATGACAAAGGTACAAATATGGCATGTCTGAATCCACTTTTGCTAATTTAAGAATGGAAATCCGTCGGTGTGTCCGGAGCATGGTCTAAAAGAATTGTCCCTATTATCTTATTGAGTTATGGGAGTGTTTTGGGTGTGATCATCATATCCCATTACCTTTAAGAGTGAGTTGTGAGCAGTGAGTTGATTTCAGGTATTTGTCGGCGATTTCTTAAAACCTGTTGACGAGTCAAAATCGGGGCTAAAATCGTGCAGTCTGTACTCGGCATAAGAGTGAGTGTTCATTTTTGTGTGAACTACCCCTTTAAAGGTGCAGTATGTAGGATTGACCCCTAGTGGACGAACACATAATTGCGGTCCAAATTCACAATATTATAATAATTTTTTTACCCGACATGTGGCACATGCAGGTTGCTCGATTGACGAGACAAACAGTAGCATGAGTACCTGACGATCGCGCCTTACTCTGTGAGCTGCTCAGCTGATGTTTACGTCTGTAATATCTGTATTACCTGCTCATTAAAAACCACCTCATATGGATTTTGAAAAAAAAGCTAAAGTCAGTAATTCTCCTTTAAGAATGTGTGTTCTGTTATGGAATGTCTGTCTTTGTTTTGATCTGTTTAACTCCGCCCACTGCCAGTGTTTTTGATGGCAATACCTTGTTCGACCTCTATACTGCACGTTTAAACTTCACAGTTCAAAAAGATAGTAAGATGCACTGAGTGAATTTTGCAAAATGATGAACAAATATTTATATAACCCTATGCCCATTCCCCTTCGGGTTGAGGTCAGGACTCGGTGCAGGCCAGTCAAATTCCTCCACCTCACATAGTCTAAAGTGCATAACAAATATACACAATATACATACAAATATGGCATGTCTGAATCCACTTTAGCTATTTTAAGGATGGAAAAACAATCGGTGTGTTCAGAGCATGGTCTAAAAGAGTAGCCCTCATTATCTTAATGAGTTATGGGAATGTTTTGGGTGTAAATAAACCAATCAGAGTCTCGTTTCCTATTCCCTTTACGGGTGAGTTGTGAGTAGTGAGATGATTTCAGGCATTTGTCTGCGATTTCTCAAAACCTGTTGGTGAGTTGGGGCTAAAATTGTCCACCGCCAGTTTACTCAATTATATCTCTGCCTTGGTTGTACTTGGATTGCAATACCCAGTTCAACCACTATACT